TATTTCAGTTAGCATTTGGCGTCCAACTCTCTGGATCTGCAAGTTTTCAATGCAGTCTCATAGCCGCAACTGGCCTGGCAGTGCTCGTTCACGGAGTGGAATCGTGAAGACATTGTCAAGACCAGGTGAAAAGCTGATTAGATTCACGTACGGGAAAAGGCTGAGGATCCAGACAGTCAGGTCCTGGAATCGAGTGAACTAGTCAACCTCTGTGCTATGATGGAGCAGTTTCAACTTCGTCACCCACTCGACAGTTGGGCGATGATGTTTGTTGAAGTTTTTAGTGACGGTCAATTCACTGTTCATGTGACACATAGCAGACGGAGGCTGCACATTGCGTTGGCCATTGCGACCAATCTCATCCGGTGGACTTGACTCGTGTTTGTTACCAGTATGAAGGAGGGAGGAGGACCTGGTTGCCTTATTTTCAACAATAAATTGCCCACTATTAACTCACTAACGGTTGTGGTTTGAAAGGTTACCAAATGACCAGATAGATCGACTTTGCTCACGACTGAGGGTTAGTCTGCAATGGTTTCATCTTAAGGTAGCCTTCGTGGCACCCTCACGTTTGTGTGATCCTAGACCTCAACTGATTACTGGTGCACCTGGAGCTGGATACCAGCACCTTCATGGTATGCATAAAGGTAACCTCAGCATCACCAACCACTTTGCCCACGCCTCTGCCTCACTATTAGAGTATGCGAGTATTGGAATAGAAAGATGGTGGTATAGGTGTAACAAAAGCCGACCCAATTTACCACTGTCTCCTATCTGGCATAGCGCTGATTCCGTCACCCGTGTTATACAGACTTATCATGCACTCATTTTCCGCTTGAGGCACGCGTGGGCGCTGGATCAATGTGTCTACAAATTTAGCAAAAATCAGATATGTGCTTTCCCAGCTCCAGGTCCAGTTTCGTTACCCGTATTTTGTCTAAAAATGGTGAGGTCCTGGAAAACACCGCGACTACTGCCTTGTCATGCTTGCTCTCTCCCTAATTCCCAATTTATGTAGGTTTCAACTCACTCATCCTTCCTTCTAACAGACATAAACCGTTTTTCGATAATATTAGTGATCTGTTTACTACACCGTCCCTATGTTGATCTCGATTTTTTTCGATTCAGACGATACTGAGGCGAATCCTCACAAACCACGTCGTACCACTCCGTCTGCCGAGGCCTCGTCTTCTGACCGACCCCGCAATGTGGCACCTTTTCGCCTATCTCCCTTTTCCTGGTCCTATCTTCACCAAGTCCTCTTGGACAGTGTACTTCGTTCGGTGGAGGATGACTTTCAGTGAGTCTGCCGCTTTTCACATAATATATTTCCGTACGATTTTCATCCTAACTTGATTCCATTTTCTGGTTATAGTGCTCTCTAGGCTTTCTTATGCAAGTCGTCTGTAGTTGTGGAAGCCACCACCTGGCTTTTACCCTAAGGCTTCCGTTATAACTTGTGCATTTCGTGAATTGCGCGTAAACAACGCCACCATAGCTTTTCATGCTTTGGGGCTGAATGTCTGTGACTTCCTACTTTCATGTTGAAAGGGTCGGTCGTGTTAAAAGATGTACCTCGGTGATTTCTACCGAACTAACAAACTCGTCATTTACTTCTTCTTGTATGTTGTGCTGGGTGTGGAAATTTGCCTTATTTTTTTCTCCGCTCGCCTCCAAGTTTAGTAAGTCGGAAAATTGTTGCCTGTGGGCCGGAGTCTCAAAATAGTGTCCCCACACCGGAGGAGGTAACCTTTATTCATCCCCTCTGATTTGCTTTTAGCGTTCATCGCGCATGGTCTCTCTCTCTACATGTCTTTTTTGTGGAAACCAGCTCGAACCCAATACAATATCGGTTTGTTGCGAAGGCAAGGAGA